AAGCACTAGTCTATGGTCTAGTCTATATACTAGCACGAGTCCAGTCTATAGTGCTTTGGATCTAATGACTAGTCTAGTCTATAGTCTAGTCTATAGTCTAGTCTATAGTCTAGTCTATAGTCTAGTCTATAGTCTAGTCTATAGTCTAGTCTATAGTCTAGTCTATAGTCTAGTCTATAGTTTAGTCTATAGTCTAGTCTATAGTCTAGTCTATAGTCTAGTCTATAGTCTAGTCTATAGTCTAGTCTATAGTCTAGTCTATAGTCTAGTCTATAGTCTAGTCTAGTCTATAGTCTAGTCTATAGTCTAGTCTATAGTCTAGTCTATAGTCTAGTCTATAGTCTAGTCTATAGTCTAGTCTATAGTCTAGTCTATAGTCTAGTCTATAGTCTAGTCTATAGTCTAGTCTATAGTCTAGTCTATAGTCTAGTCTATAGTCTAGTCTATAGTCTAGTCTATAGTCTAGTCTATAGTCTAGTCTATAGTCTAGTCTATAGTCTAGTCTATAGTCTAGTCTATAGTCTAGTCTATAGTCTAGTCTATAGTCTAGTCTATAGTCTAGTCTATAGTCTAGTCTATAGTCTAGTCTATAGTCTAGTCTATAGTCTAGTCTATAGTCTAGTCTATAGTCTAGTCTATAGTCTAGTCTATAGTCTAGTCTATAGTCTAGTCTATAGTCTAGTCTATAGTCTAGTCTATAGTCTAGTCTATAGTCTAGTCTATAGTCTAGTCTATAGTCTAGTCTATAGTCTAGTCTATAGTCTAGTCTATAGTCTAGTCTATAGTCTAGTCTATAGTCCAGTCTATAGTCTAGTCTATAGTCTAGTCTATAGTCTAGTCTATAGTCCAGTCTATAGTCTAGTCTATAGTCTAGTCTATAGTCTAGTCTATAGTCTAGTCTATAGTCTAGTCTATAGTCTAGTCTATAGTCTAGTCTATAGTCTAGTCTATAGTCTAGTCTATAGTCTAGTCTATAGTCTAGTCTATAGTCTAGTCTATAGTCTAGTCTAAAGTCTAGTCTATAGTCTAGTCTATAGTCTAGTCTATAGTCTAGTCTATAGTCTAGTCTATAGTCTAGTCTATAGTCTAGTCTATAGTCTAGTCTATAGTCTAGTCTATAGTCTAGTCTATAGTCTATAGTCTAGTCTATAGTCTAGTCTATAGTCTATAGTCTAGTCTATAGTCTAGTCTATAGTCTATAGTCTAGTCTATAGTCAGTCATAGTCTAGTCTATAGTCTAGTCTATAGTATAGTCTATAGTCTAGTCTATAGTCTAGTCTATAGTCTAGTCTATAGTCTAGTCTATAGTCTAGTCTATAGTCTAGTCTATAGTCTAGTCTATAGTCTAGTCTATAGTCTAGTCTATAGTCTTGCCTATAGTCTAGTCTATAGTCTAGTCTATAGTCTAGTCTATAGTCTAGTCTATAGTCTAGTCTATAGTATAGTCTAGTCTATAGTCTAGTCTAGTCTATAGTCCAGTCTAGTCTATAGTCTAGTCTATAGTCTAGTGTATAGTCTAGTCTATAGTCTAGTCTAGTCTATAGTCTAGTCTATAGTCTAGTCCTATAGTCCTAGTCTATAGTCTAGTCTATAGTCTAGTCTATAGTCTAGTCTATAGTCTAGTCTATAGTCTAGTCTATAGTCTAGTCTATAGTCTAGTCTATAGTCTAGTCTATAGTCTAGTCTATAGTCTAGTCTATAGTCCTAGTCTATTAGTCTAGTCTATAGTCTAGTCTATAGTCTAGTCTATAGTCCTAGTCTATAGTCTAGTCTATAGTCTAGTCTATAGTCTAGTCTATAGTCCTAGTCTATAGTCTAGTCTATAGTCTAGTCTATAGTCTAGTCTATAGTCTAGTCTATAGTCTAGTCTATAGTCTAGTCTATAGATCTAGTCTATAGTCTAGTCTATAGTCTAGTCTATAGTCTAGTCTATAGTCTAGTCTATAGTCTGGTCTATAGTCTAGTCTATAGTCTAGTCCTATAGTCTAGTTCTATAGTCTAGTCTATAGTCTAGTCTATAGTCTAGTCTATAAGTTCTAGTCTATAGTCTAGTCATAGTCTAGTTATAGTCTAGTCTAGTCTATAGTCTAGTCTATAGTCTAGCTAGTCTAGTTATAGTCTAGTCTATAGTCTAGTCTATAGTCTAGTCTATAGTCTAGTCTAGTCTATAGTCTAGTCTATAGTCTAGTCTATAGTCTAGTCTATAGTCTAGTCTATAGTCTAGTCTATAGTCTAGTCTATAGTCTAGTCTATAGTCTAGTCTATAGTCTAGTCTAGTCTAGTCTATAGTCTAGTCTATAGTCTAGTCTATAGTCTAGTCTATAGTCTAGTCTATAGTCTAGTCTATAGTCTAGTCTATAGTCTAGTCTATAGTCTAGTCTATAGTTAGTCTATAGTCTAGTCTATAGTCTAGTCTATAGTCTAGTCTATAGTCTAGTCTATAGTCTAGTCTATAGTCTAGTCTATAGTCTAGTCTATAGTCTAGTCTATAGTCTAGTCTATAGTCTAGTCTATAGTCTAGTCTATAGTCTAGTCTATAGTCTAGTCTATAGTCTAGTCTATAGTCTAGTCTAGTCTAGTCTATAGTCTAGTCTATAGTCTAGTCTATAGTCTAGTCTATAGTCTAGTCATAGTCTAGTCTATAGTCTAGTCTATAGTCTAGTCTATAGTCTAGTCTATAGTCTAGTCTATAGTCTAGTCTATAGTCTAGTCTATAGTCTAGTCTATAGTCTAGTCTATAGTCTAGTCTATAGTCTAGTCTATAGTCTAGTCTATAGTCTAGTCTATAGTCTAGTCTATAGTCTAGTCTATAGTCTAGTCTATAGTCTAGTCTATAGTCTAGTCTATAGTCTAGTCTATAGTCTAGTCTATAGTCTAGTCTATAGTCTAGTCTATAGTCTAGTCTCTAGTCTAGTCTATAGTCTAGTCTATAGTCTAGTCTATAGTCTAGTCTATAGTCTAGTCTATAGTCTAGTCTATAGTTAGTCTAGTCTATAGTCTAGTCTATAGTCTAGTCTATAGTCTAGTCTATAGTCTAGTCTATAGTCTAGTCTATAGTCTAGTCTATAGTCTAGTCTATAGTAGTCTATAGTCTAGTCTATAGTCTAGTCTATAGTCTAGTCTATAGTCTAGTCTATAGTCTAGTCTATAGTAGTCTATAGTCTAGTCTATAGTCTAGTCTATAGTCTAGTCTATAGTCTAGTCTATAGTCTAGTCTATAGTCTAGTCTATAGTCTAGTCTATAGTCTAGTCTATAGTCTAGTCTATAGTCTAGTCTATAGTCTAGTCTATAGTCTAGTCTATAGTCTAGTCTATAGTCTAGTCTATAGTAGTCTAGTCTAGTCTAGTCTATAGTCTAGTCTAGTCTATAGTCTAGTCTATAGTCTAGTCTATAGTTAGTCTATAGTCTAGTCTATAGTCTAGTCTATAGTCTAGTCTATAGTCGAGTCTATAGTCAGGTCGTTAGCTAGTCTATAGTCTCGTCTATAGTCTAGTCTGCATTTATTCTATACTCTAGTCTATAGTTCATGTTTTCTGTTGAATTTTGAGCTGCTAAATATTCAAATAAATGTCTTTAATACATACATATTGTATGGTCTTCAGCAAGTCGATTTAGACCAGTAGGTAAAGAAATACATAGGATATAGACTTCAGTAGCTACATGGATTCAATAAAGTCGAATAAAATAAACTCTGTGTTTGTATTTCCTGTAACCACCTTAATCTACATGCATACATACCTACATACATATATACAGAAATATTTGTATTGAATTTTATTTGTCTGTGTATTTGTTTTAGCCATTAGTGGTTTTATGCTGATTACACAATAAACTTTCATTATCCTTATAAAAGCAAAAAACTAAAGGAAAACAAAATCCACGCAAACTTTAGAAATCCCCATATAAAATGTGCTGTTTATGCAAGAAATTGGATTTATACAAATTGTTTTATAGATTAGATTGAGGAAGTAGAAAAACTATTTATTTAGTTTGCTTATCTTTATTAACTGCAAAGTGAATGTGGTAAAAGGTAGAAAGAAAAAAAATAAGGTTTTAAATAACAAAATATTTATTTAAACTTTAAAGTAACAAAGTATTTAATTAATTTAAAGGTGAAAAATAATATTTTAAACATTAAATTTGTTTTTTTAATATAATGTTGAATAATTAGCATTATATGTTAAAGCGTTCTTTTTTTACTTTTCAATCAAATAATCCTTTTAATTAATAAATTAATAATTTTAATAATGTCATATTGTCACTTTACACTCGATGGATTTAACGATAATATTATTAAAAAAATATTTATATGCATTTTTAATATTAATCATGCAAAGGCCACTAACTGAAATTAATATGTTATGTACTTAGATATATAGAACACTTTTCCCTGGTTTAGGTTATGGACTTAACCTTGGACTACACTATGGACTTCTCTGACTAGTTGTTTATGTACCAATCTATTTACTAGTCAACGGACTAGTAGATGGGCTAGTGTGTTGACTATTATATTTATTTGACTTTTCTTCACTCTACGGAATAGTCTATTGTGTAGTCTATGGACTTGTATTCATATAATTAAGTCCATGGACTTATCTATGATTTAGTTTTTGAACAGAACTATTGAATAAAATATGGAATAGTCTATGGACTGGACTAATCTATGGTCCATGGACTTATCTATGAACTAGTCAATGGACCAGTATTTAGATTGGACTATTGAATAGAATATGAGATAGTCGATGGACTAGTGTTTGACCTTGTCTATGAATTTCACTATGCTTATGGACTAGTTCGTAAGGTAGCCCATAGAATAGTCGATGGATTAGTTTTTTTGACTAATATGTTGGTTTATTTATTCCCTAGTCTATGGCCTTATCTATGGACTAGCATTTAATAACTTTATGAATACTGTATAAAATATATTTAAACTATTTTTTTCTATTTAACAAAAATATTTTCATTTAAATTTCTCTCTTTTTCATTCCCTAGCGTACAAGAAACAGATGGTTCTTATTTCGAAAATTTCACATCATTGGGATGGAAACGGGAAAATCGTCGTATGTCGGCAACGCGTGCTGCTGAAGCACGTGCCGAGGCACATCATGAAAATGAACGGGAACCGCCCAATATTGCTGAAGATTCTATAGATAAACAAGAGGAGAATGAAAAATTATATATGGAAGTATTACAAACAATTGCCAATACCGTAGGTGCACCAGCACCAGGAGGACAGGTAAGAAAACAAACAACCTACATATTTTCCTTATAAATACAAAAATATATAAGCACACACATTAATACCAGAATATAAGAAATATTAAAATGAAAATCATAAAATAAACGAAAACATTAAATTAAGACTGACAGGGATTAACTGGAAAATAAAATCATATATTCTTATTGTGCTTATATATTTATAGGTACATACATACATATACATATGTATGTATGTATGTATGTATGTATGTATATAAAATGAACAATCGTTTCTATTACCTACAGTTTGTTTAAATTAAGTTATTCAACCATATAGTAGAACAACTTAAAGACCTCAAAGACCTTTTAAATGCTTTAAATATTGTCTGTGTTTTTTTTGGCTTTATCGTTTTGTGTATGCGTGTGCCCCTTAAATTATGTTACAATTTAATCAAAATAAATAAATGATGACATCTTGTATGTTGTATATTTGTGGTTTGATAAAGAATTTATTTATTGGACTGTAAAATTATAAGCTTTTAGAAGGATAGACAGCAAAGCATATTTGTTTTCTTTATATATCTAATCGTTACAGAACAATTATTTTTCGGATTTTGTTATTGTATGTTTAGGCCAATATACTGTACATATGTATATAAGGGTGATATTTATTGATGAATTTAATAATTTTTTGTTTATATTGCATAATGATGTGAGTTAACTCTGAAAACGACTTATTTGTATAACAGTTGGTTACTTCTCTGGTATATAGTATAACCTTTCCAAAGAGATAATCAGGGCAAAAATTGGTTACAATTAGTACGAGTTATTAAAATTTTCTACGAAGATTTATGTACCTGATGACACATACACATACATATTCTCTAGTTTTGAAAAAATTTACAAATTCTCTAGTCGAGGCTATGATCTAGTATATAGACGACTTCATAGTCGATTCTAAGGTCCAGTCTGTAGTCGAGACTATAGTTGAGACTACAGTCCAGCCTATAGTCCAGTCTATAGTCGAGACTATAGTGCAGTCTATAGTCGACACTATAGTCCAGTTTAGAGTTGAGACTGAAGTCCAGTTTATAGTCGAGACTAAAGTCCAGTCTATAGACGAGACTATAGTCCAGTCTATAGTCGAGACTATAGTCTAGTCTATAGTCGAGACTATAGTCTAGTCTATAGTAGAGACTATAGTCCAGTCTATAGTCGAGACTATAGTCTAGTCTATAGTCGAGACTATAGTCCAGTCTATAGTCGCGACTATAGTCTAGTCTATAGTCGAGACTATAGTCTAGTCTACAGTCGAGACTATAGTCCAGTCTATAGTCGAGACTGTAGTCCAGTCTATAGTCGAAACTATAGTCCAGTCTATAGTCGAGACTATAGTCCAGTTTATAGTTGAGACTATAGTCCTGTCTATAGTCGAACTATAGTCCAGTCTATAGTCGAGACTATAGTCCAGTTTATAGTCGAGACTAGAGTCCAGTCTATAGTCGATACTATAGTCCAGTCTATAGTCGAGACTATAGTCCAGTCTATAGTCGAGACTATGGTCCAGTCTATAGTCGACACTATAGTCCAGTCTATAGTCGACACTATAGTCCAGTCTATAGTCGACACTATAGTCCAGTCTATAGTCGACACTATAGTCCAGTCTATAGTCCAGTCTATAGTCGAGACTATAGTCCAGTATATAGTTGAGACTATAGTCGAGACTATAGTCCAGTATATAGTTGAGACTATAGTCGAGACTTTAGTCCAATCTATAGTCGAGACTATAGTCCAGTCTATGTCGACACTATAGTCCAGTCTATAGTCGAGACTATAGTCTAGTCTATAGTAGAACTATAGTCCAGTCTATAGTCGAGACTATAGTCCAGTTTATAGTCGAGACTAGAGTCCAGTCTATAGTCGAGACTAGAGTCCAGTCTATAGTCGATAATATAGCCCAGTCTATAGTCGAGAATATAGTCCAGCCTATAGTTGAGACTATAGTCCTGTCTATAGTTGAGACTATAGACTAGTCTATAGTCGAGACTATAGTCCAGTATATAGTTCAGACTATAGTCGAGACTATAGTCCAGTATATAGTTGAGACTATAGTCGAGACTTTAGTCCAGTCTATAGTCGAGACTATAGTCCAGCCTATGTCGACACTATAGTCCAGTCTATAGTCGAGACTATAGTCTAATCTATAGTCGAACTATAGTCCAGTCTATAGTCAAGACTATAGTCCAGTCTATAGTCGAGACTATAGTCCAGTTTATAGTCGAGACTAGAGTCCAGTCTATAGTCGAGACTAGAGTCCAGTCTATAGTCGATAATATAGCCCAGTCTATAGTCGAGAATATAGTCCAGCCTATAGTTGAGACTATAGTCCTGTCTATAGTTGAGACTATAGACTAGTCTATAGTCGAGACTATAGTCCAGTCTATAGTCGAGACTATAGTCCAGTCTATAGTCGACACTAGTCCAGTCTATAGTCGAGACTATAGTCCAGTATATAGTTGAGACTATAGTCGAGGCTATAGTCCAGTATATAGTTGAGACTATAGTCGAGACTTTAGTCCAGTCTATAGTCGAGACTAGAGTCCAGTCTATGTCGACACTATAGTCCAGTCTATAGTCGAGACTAAAGTCCAGTCGATAGTCGATATTCTAGTCCAATCTATAGTCGATACTCTAGTCCAGTCGATACTGTAGTCCATTCTATAGACGACTCTATATAGTCGATACTGTATTCCAGTCTATAGTCGATACTGTAGTCCATTCTATAGTCGACTCTATGTAGTCGAGACTATGATCCAATCTAAGGTCTACACTATAGTTCAGTATTGATTCGAGTTTATAGTACAGTATTTGGTAACGACTATAGTCGATATTATAGTCGAACCTATATTCCAACATGTAGTCCAATCTATAGTCGTGTCTAAAGTCGAGACTATCAACCAGTTTATAATCGAGACTATCGTCCTGTCTATAATCGATATTATAGTCCAGTCTACAGTCGAGACTATACTTTAGTGCATTACTTTAACATTTTCTAACAAAATTACTAAAACCCTTTTTAATAAACAATTAGCATTACCCTAATGTCTGTAATTATTAAGACTATGTAAACATAAATTTATGTTCATAGAAGCCATTTTATTATAGATTTTATATTGTTATGTATCCTTTTTGAAAATATATTATTTTTTAACATTCTTAGAAATAAGGACCTTTACTAATTATTAACAAAAGTAAGAGGCACTGATTTATAGGGGTAAATTATAATGAATAACAAGCTGTCATTTTTCCTGGCCATACATATGGGGAAAATATAAATTATAAAGCATATTGTAAATGACGTAAAATTAGTAGTTAATTGAACATTTTATGAATTTAGTTCTAATAATTACTCCGACAAATTAAGTAACATAAAAGGCAAAAGAAAACTTAAAATACCATTTTTTTCCTTCTAAATTGAAGTGATGTCAGATAAAGGCTAATAAATATACAAACATACACTAGAATTCTATGAGCATATGGGTTCTAATTTCGTATATAGCATGTAATTACTTATGTAAAATTTAAAGCTATTAAATCCAGAAAATAATAGCTGTTATTATTTTTATTTCATTGCTACTTCACACATAAACTATTTACTATTTTGTTTTCTAATTAATGTTCTATTTGCTCTCATATCTCTATTATATTTGTAATAAATTTAGTTTTTTTTTTGTAGTAAAAACGTCTATCAAATAACTAATAACTGAGTAAATAATAATGCAATAAATGTTCTAATAAGAACTGGTCTTAAAAAATCTATATAGACATCATTAGTATTAGATTGAACTAAAATAAAATGCACTTAATATTTATGATTATGGTAAAGTGGTGAATTTTTATTACAGCAATCAATTACGAAGGATAGTTTTAAAAGTTGTCGAGAAAAATTTTAAAATATTTTTTTAAGTTTATTAATTGTCTTGCCTATAGGCGAGACTATATTCGAGTCTATAGTCGAAACTATAACCCAGTATTTAGTCAAGACTATTGTCCAGTCTATATTTGAGTTTATAAGTAGTACACTTTACAGTCGAGAGTATAGCTTAGCCTATTGTCCGAATTATACTTCAGTCTACAGTCGAGACTATAGTCCGGTCCATAGTTTAGATTATAGTCCAATTCATAAACGAGACGATAATGCAGTTGTGGGTAGAGACTATTGTCCAGTCGAAATTAGGGTCTAGTCTATAGTCGAGACTATATTCCAGTCTATAGTCATGTCTATATTCCAGATTTTTGTCGAAATTATAGTCCATTCTACGGTTCAGATCTCAGTCCTGCCAATATTGGAGAGATCATCGACACAATAGTCCAGACTATAGTCGAGACTGTTGTCCATACTATACTCGAAACTTTTGTCCAGACTATAGTCTAGACTATTGTCCAGACTGTAGTCGAAACTTTTGTATAACTGTAGTCGAGACTATTGTCCAGACTATAGTTGAGGCTATTGTCCAGACTATAGTCGAGACTCTAGTTCAGATTATAGTATAGTATATATAATCGAGACTATTGTCCAGACTATAATCGGGACTTTTGTAGAGACTGTAGTCTAGATTATTGTCCAGACTATAGTCTAGACTATTGTCCAGACTATAGCCTAGACTATTGTTCAGACTATAGTCTAGACTATTGCCGTGACTATAGTTGAGACTATTGTCCAGACTATAGTGGAGAATATTGTCCAGACTATAGTCGAGACTATTGTCCAGACTGAAGTCAAGACTATTGTCCAGGCTATAGTCTAGACTATTGTCCAGACTATAGTCTAGACTATTGTCCAGACTATAGTCGAGACTATTGTCCAGACTATTGACCAGACTATAGTGGATACTATTGTCCAGACTATAGTCGAGACTTTTGAAGGGACTATGGTCGAGATTAATATCCAGACTATAGTAGAGACTCTTGTAGAGACTTTAGTCGAGACCATTGTCCAGACTATAGTCGAGACTATTGTCCAGACTATATTCGTGACTATTGTCAGTATAATAGTCCAAACTATAGCTGAAAATATAGGCCATTCTATAATCCATACTATAGTCAAAACTAAATTTCGGTCTGCAGTCGATACCATAGTCCGGTTTAGAGTCAAGAATATAGTCTAATCTATAGTTAAGTTTAGTGACTAGACCATAGTTCAGTAAATAACTAACAGTTTATTGCCTATAGAATACTATAAACTAGTCAACATTCAATACTTGCCATCGTATTTCTAACGTATTATTTTCAGACATACTATGTACGTATAATGCACACTCTATTTGTTAAAGATTTAAAAAAAAATCATTAAGTGTTTTAGTACTGCTAAAGACAAATTGAAAATAGAAATAATGGTTGATTATAAAATGGCATTTTAAAAGACCATTTTCAGTAAATACATTAAAACAATAGCCAGACAATAAAAAGCAACGAATGAATGACTCTCTATATTATAATATTATGACTCAACATTTTCAATTTATCTTAAAATATAAAAAAAAAACACAGTTCAATAGATAATATATTTTAATATGCAATTCATTCCACTTCAACTCTTTTTATTTGCAAAATAATTGTTTTTTTTTTTTTTGCTTTTTTCCATTTTCTTTTAATACCATTACGTTTTCTTTCTTATTTTTTGTCATTTTAGTTCGCCCATTATAAAGAGGAAATGTATTTGCATGCTCAACGTGCATTTGGCATTAGTCCAGATCGTCATTATCGCCTGTTGCATGCAACAGCTGAAGATAAACCCAAAGTTATTGTCCTGTCAGTGGTTGTGCTCGAGGCAGAGGGTTTAGAAGCCAAAGATGCAAATGGTAAGTGGTATTAAATATTAATAGAAATTATTTAGAATAAAATAAACATATTTATTTTTTGTATAGTTTAAATAAGAGTTAGAGGAAAACACATTTGCTGTATATTGAGGCGTATGAGTGTTTTTTTGAAAGAGTTATAAATTTGAATAAATGAATGAGTAGTGATGGCGTAATATTAGATTCATTTTTTATAATTATATGTATAAGAATGATTTAGTGAGTTGGCAAAAATATAATGCTTTATGGCCTTCATATATATGTATATATGAAAGTGTCCATACACTTTAGCTATAATATACTAAATGGAACTCAGTGAATAAGTATAAAAGAAATTTTACCAGTTAAACCATTAAAATTACACGCTTAACAAAAGAAAAATCATATAAATTATTCAATTATAATTCAAAATCTAAGTTTTTTTTACACACGGTAACCAGAGCGTATGATTGATATTTAAATATTCATCAAGTAAAGCATAATACTCATACGTATGGAGTACTCATACAAAAGGTGGTGTTGGATTTTAAGGTAAATCTTTAGATATGTATAAAATAGTCGCGTTAATGAGTGACGTGGCTATAGTCCTAATGGCGGGGAGCTATAATAAATATATTTTTAATTGTCGTATAAATTAAAGGAGGGATTTTTGAAATTTAGAATAATTTTAAAGGGAAAAGGAGGGGAAAATTATATAGCTGAATACTGTCTTGTCTTGACGACAATGTCAGAGGTGATTCATTACATAAAAGTGATGACATTTTATAACAGACAACTTAATGCAGCAGACCTCCATTGACATGATGATCTGTTATATAAGTGAGTGAAAATCCCCAACAATGAACCCTTGCTACATACGAAATATGAGAAGCCATAAGAGGAGACTTTGTGGTACCTTTTTAATTAGAAGATTTTGTAACCTACAACATATATGAAGGTAGCGAAGCCGGATATTCTCATATATACATTTTAATACTTTTTAATATCTGTTAAATTCCAACAAAATCCTTTTTAATGTTGCTTCCTGTTTTGAATGAGTATAGTGAAATGTTAAAAAAATATATTTTAAAATTACCCAAAAGCTTCCCCAGGTTATTAACAACATATAGCAAAACAAGCAAGAGTTATATATTCGGATTAACGAATCTTATATACCCTTCACCATAGTCTGTTAAAAAACAGTCAATACAAATTTCATAACAAAAACAAAAAGTTTCGAAAAAGTACCAGAAAGTTCTCCTTGGCGAAGGTAAGGGGCATACAAATACTAATAAGGTAGCAAAAAATTAAAACTAAACACATTAAAAATATACCTTCAAAATGTAATTCTTTAATTAACTGCAGTTACTAGAGCGTATGATTGATATTTAAATTTTCATCATGTTAAAAATAATAATCATACGTATGGTGTACTTAAGCTTTCATGCCCTTTAAGTAAATACATACATACATTTAACAAAATTATGTTTATACTACACAAATATAAAAATTCTATATAATTCTATAATAATTCAAAATGAAATATAATATTTAATTTCTTTTCGCATACATTTCTAATATTTATTTAATTGTAATAATTTGAAGCATTTAACTGTTCAACATACATTTCCATTTAACATTATTATACCGAGAAATTTTCGTGCATTTTATTCATTTCAATATTTTGTTTAACACAATTTGATTGTTTTAAACATGTTTTCATTAAAAGTTTCACATTTATTGTTAGTTTTGCACACACCACCGTTTTAGCTATATACATAAAAATGATTTTCTACTTTTTTATATAATTGGCTTTTGTTTGCGTTTTTGGTCAATATTTTATTTAATGGCCAGTGAAAAAAGTAACTCCTACTACACCTGCATTTCAAACAGATAAATAACTTCCGGTCAGGTTATATACCAATTATGTCTTGTTAAGCTGTTTCTGCATGCAATAGGGAGTTTTGATGAATGCGTGGAAAAAATTGCTAAATATTTGTTAAAATATGATATGCAAAATATTCACATGACTAACTGAAATTAAATGTGGAAAGTGATGAAAAATATATATTTTTGTTGTTGTTAAATGTTACACATTAGCAGCTCTATTAAAATTAAATTTTAGTGTTTTACAAGGTAATAACATGTTTAAAAATAATAAATTGGTTTAAAATACAAATAAAACCTTGTTTAAAACTAAAATTTTTTTAAGTTTACATATGTATGTTTGTGTGTAATAAAATAACGCTTTTCTGTCAAAAATGTGTGAAGCTTTTTTTGAATTTTTCGAAACCAGAAAGACAAATATTTTAATACATCTCCAACTATGTTTAATTCGAGTTCAGTTCTAATTCTACTTCTGTTCTAGTTTAGTTCCAGTTCAGTTCTAGTTCAGTTCTAGTTCAGTTCTAGTTCAGTTCTAGTTCAGTTCTAGTTCAGTTCTAGTTCAGTTCTAGTTCAGTTCTAGTTCAGTTCTAGTTCAGTTCTAGTTCAGTTCTAGTTCAGTTCTAGTTCAGTTCTAGTTCAGTTCTAGTTCAGTTCTAGTTCAGTTCTAGTTCAGTTCTAGTTCAGTTCTAGTTCAGTTCTAGTTCAGTTCTAGTTCAGTTCTAGTTCAGTTCTAGTTCAGTTCTAGTTCAGTTCTAGTTCAGTTCTAGTTCAGTTCTAGTTCAGTTCTAGTTCAGTTCTAGTTCAGTTCTAGTTCAGTTCTAGTTCAGTTCTAGTTCAGTTCTAGTTCAGTTCTAGTTCAGTTCTAGTACAGTTCTAGTTCAGTTCTAGTTCAGTTCTAGTTCAGTTCTAATTCAGTTCTAGTTCAGTTCCAATTCAATTCAGTTCTAGTTCAGTTCTAGTTCAGTTCTTGTTCAGTTCTTGTTCAGTTCTACTTTATATTTGTTTCTTTAGCAAAGTGTTGTGACTGAATTTAAGATTTCCAGAAATAATGTTCATAAAATCAAACAATTATAAAAAAGATATTTTAAATTTGACAAAAACCAAGACAATTTCATATTTATCTTTTTCATATAATGACCTTTTTTAGAAAACTTCTTTACAAAATATTTTCCCCATCAAATGCTTAAAAAGAACAACATTTAAACAAATTATTTATATGTCTTCTCATCTTAATCATAAAATGTGTTTTATATCATTTTTCAATCTAAATTTATTTAATATTTTTATTTACTTATTTGCTTTGGAATTTCTTCATGTTCATACTTGTTTGTACACATTTCGTAATTGTGGCAAATATTTCATTCGAAATGTGTGTTCTTTAGCCAGAGGATTTGAGTTTAATAAATACACATAAAAGTGTACATAGTAATTTTCATTAAAACTAACTACATGTTAAAATTGAAAATAATATTTAAGGGCAAATAAAATACTAGTAACAAATTATAAAATATCAAGTAGTATATTCGGTTAAATCATGATATGCTTAATTTAGAATAGTTTAAAAGAAAATTTTAATACGTTTCAATAGTTTAACAAACAAATTATTTTGGTTTACAAAATTTATGAGAAGATTACATTTTGGATACGTTTTCAAATCATCCAAACTAGTTCTTGCCCATATCTCAGCCAGGGTGTTTACAAAAAGATGAACTTAATACCGTAAATATATTCAAGATTATTAAGCGCACTCAAGCAGCTGCACCAGGTACTCTATCCCATGGGATTTGGTAACAACAAATTCATTTTAAAAATTTTATAAAAGGTTAAGAAGGGAGAAATGTGCCATCAAGAAATAAAATTAGATTATTTATAAATGAACAGCAAATGGAATAAAATGTGTTTTACTAAACGCTCCCAGTAAACTTAAACGCAATGTTGGCGACTATGACTAGCTAACCGTCGAGATTAAAAATAATTGATTCCTTCTTAAAAAGAGATTTGACTAATTTCACAGATGGTTTTATTTATGACTAACAATTTGTGTTTTAAATTTATATTAACTGAAAATAATATTATATTTTAAATTTCTCTGGGAAATAGTGTAACTGCTGCTGTTTTTAATTTGCAACAAATAAATGTTTATTTAAATTTCTTTTAATTTTTCATCTTAAAACAAAAACAAGACAAATAAAATACAACTGTGTTCATAAAAGCAAACAGAAAAGATAAAAACTGTAAGAAATCCAAAGTCCAACAACACTAAATCATGTCTGCTAACAATAATAGAAGAAACATTTGCAACATTAGTGTAGGTGTTTTCTTATAGTTTTAAAAGTAAAATGTATTTAAAATAAACACTAATACATAAATTCATCTTCTTCCCACAAACAGGCTTTTCTGATCCCTACTGCATGCTGGGCATACAGCCAGATGGTGGACCACCCGTCTCACCATTGCCACTGCCACCGACACCACGCGCTTTGTCCGCCGATATGAGTGCGTTCGACAACAATGCTACCGATTCACCGCCACATCGTAAGCACAGTTTTCGTTTGAGTTTTAAGAGACGCGAAGGCAGCAGTCGCCGTGAACAGCGTGATTCACTGGGTGGTCCAGTGCCAGCAAAATTCATTTGTGCAACATCAATTAAACCGCACACGTTGAATCCCAAATGGAATGAGAAATTTAAATTGTAAGTGTGTTTAAATAGTAAATAGTTTTAGATTATAAATAGCAGATATTAAAAATATTAAACAGGAGTTTAACTTTTAACTTTAAAATTAAACGTATTGAGAAAATATATTGCATAAAATATGTAATGTGGAGTAGACAATTTAAAGTAGAGATTCCAGTTCTATTCTAGTATAGCTCTAGTTCAGTTTAGTTCTAGTTGAGTTCTAGCTCAGTTCGGTTCTAGTTAAGTTCTAGTTCATTTTTAGTTCAGTTCTAGTTCAGATCTAGTTCAGTTCTAGTTCAGTTCTAGTTCAGTTCTAGTTCAGTTCTAGTTCAGTTCTAGTTCAGTTCTAGTTCAGTTCTAGTTCAGTTCTAGTTCAGTTCTAGTTCATTTCTAGTTCAGTTCTAGTTCAGTTCTAGTTCAGTTCTAGTTCAGTTCTAGTTAAGTTCTAGTTCAGTTCTAGTTCAGTTCTAGTTCAGTTCTAGTCAGTTCAGTTCAGTTCTAGTTCAGTTCTAGTTCAGTTCTAGTTCAGTTCTAGTTCAGTTCTAGTTCAGTTCTAGTTCAGTTCTAGTTCAGTTCTAGTTCAGTTCTAGTTCAGTTCTAGTTCAGTTCTAGTTCAGTTCTAGTTCAATTCTAGTTCAATTCTAGTTCAGTTCTAGTTCAGTTCTAGTTCAGTTCTAGTTCAGTTCTAGTTCAGTTCTAATTCAGTTCTATTTCAGTTCTAGTTCAGTTCTAGTTCAGTTATAGTTCAGTTCTAGTTCAGTTCTAGTTCAGTTCTAGTTCAGTTCTAGTTCAGTTCTAGTTCAGTTCTAGTTCAGTTCTAGTTCAGTTCTAGTTCAGTTCTAGTTCAGTTCTAGTTCAGTTCTAGTTCAGTTCTAGTTCAGTTCTAGTTCAGTTCTAGTTCAGTTCTAGTTCAGTTCTAGTTCAGTTCTAGTTCAGTTCTAGTTCAGTTCTAGTTCAGTTCTAGTTCAGTTTTAGTTCAGTTCTAGTTCAGTTCTAGTTCAGTTCTAGTTCAGTTCTAGTTCAGTTCTAGTTCAGTTCTAGTTCAGTTCTAGTTCAGTTCTAGTTCAGTTCTAGTTCAGTTCTAGTTCAGTCAGTTTCTAGTTCAGTTCTAGTTCAGTTCTAGTTCAGTTCAGTTCTAGTTCAGTTCTAGTTCAGTTCTAGTTCAGTTCTAGTTCAGTTCTAGTTCAGTTCTAGTCAGTTCTAGTTCAGTTCTAGTTCATTAGTTCAGTTCTAGTTCAGTTCTAGTTCAGTTCTAGTCCGTTCTAGTTCCGTTCTTAGTTCAGTTCTAGTTCAGTTCTAGTTCAGTTCTAGTTTCAGTTCTTAGTTCAGTTATCGTTCAGTTCTAGTTCAGTTCTAGTTCAGTCTAGTTCAGTTCTAGTTCAGTTCTAGTTCAGTTCTAGTTCAGTTCTAGTTTCAGTTCTCGTTCAGTTCTAGTTCAGTTTTCTAGTTCAGTTCTAGTTCAGTTCTAGTTCAGTTCTAGTTCCAGTTCTAGCTTCAGTTCTAGTTCAGTTCTAGTTCAGTTCTAGTTCAGTTCTAGTTCAGTTCTAGTTCAGTTCTAGTTCAGTTCTAGTTCAGTTCTAGTTCAGTTTTAGTTCAGTTCTAGTTCAGTTCTAGTTCAGTTCTAGTTCAGTTCTAGTTCAGTTCTAGTTCAGTTCTAGTTCAGTTTAGTTCAGTTCTAGTTCAGTTCTAGTTCAGTTCTAGTTCAGTTCTAGTTCAGTTCTAGTTCAGTTCTAGTTCAGTTCTAGTTCAGTTCTAGTTCAGTTCTAGTTCAGTTCTAGTTCAGTTCTAGTTCAGTTCTAGTTCAGTTCTAGTTCAGTTCTAGTTCAGTTCTAGTTCAGTTCTAGTTCAGTTCTAGTTCAGTTCTAGTTCAGTTCTAGTTCAGTTCTAGTTCAGTTCTAGTTCAGTTCTAGTTCAGTTCTAGTTCAGTTCTAGTTCAGTTCTAGTTCAGTTCTAGTTCAGTTCTAGTTCAGTTCTAGTTCAGTTCTAGTTCAGTTCTAGTTCAGTTCTAGTTCAGTTCTAGTTCAGTTCTAGTTCAGTTCTAGTTCAGTTAGTTCTAGTTCAGTTCTAGTTCAGTTCTAGTTCAGTTCTAGTTCAGTTCTAGTTCAGTTCTAGTTCAGTTCTAGTTCAGTTCTAGTTCAGTTCTAGTTCAGTTCTAGTTCAGTTCTAGTTCAGTTCTAGTTTAGTTCTAGTTCAGTTCTAGTTCAGTTCTAGTTCAGTTCTAGTTCAGTTCTAGTTCAGTTCTAGTTCAGTTCTAGTTCAGTTTTAGTTCAGTTTTAGTTCATTTGTAGTACAGTTGTAGTTCTAGTATAGTTTTATAAAGTGTTTAACATAATGTTCAAATACCTAAACTTGTGGGAGTGGGAGTTTTAAGAACGCTATTCAATATAATGTTAATTTTTGCTGTTTGAACACATGTAGTAAATTTCCATTAATCAAAACAATTATATGGATTCCATATAATTTCAACAAAGTACCAATTACAAGAATTCCTTTTAACAATTTTAGGGATAGCTATATTAATAATGTTTATATTTTTAGTTATTTATAATAAATTATAATTTAAGATTGATTGATTGGTAGACTGATTGTATTGGTTTAGTGTTGTAATGCTTCTTTTATTACTATTTCTAACTAATGTTTATATTTACAGTCAATAATTTTAAAGTAATTGTTGAATATTTTCTTAATTTTCCATTTATTAATTATCGTATCAATTGGTTCAAATAAATGAGTTATTTTCATGTTGCAAATGGAAAATACTAAATAGTTTGTAATTATTTATCAATTAATTGAAGGAAACACCACATAAAACAATTAACTATTTGAGATATTTAATTAATGGTTTGTAGGAATTTTTGTAATAATAAATAAATTGTTTTTATATTATTCAGTCTTCTAAAGAAATAAATGTTAAGGTCATTTAACTAAACATTTAATTTTATTAATATGATTTCATTAATTTAACATGGCATTTTCTGGGGAAAATGTTATGTGAAAAAGTGTAGTGGTATTTAATAATTAAGAGCATTTCGTTTTATAGTTATAAAGAATAGTTATGGTTTAAAAACCTTTTATAATTGATGAAAAATTAGTTTTAGAATTTTTTGTTTCGATTAATATTTAATACAGTTTTTTTAATAATTTAAATAAAATATTTATGACTAACATTTTGTTTCATAGGTTTAAGTTCAGAGTATAAAAAAGTAATAGGCAGTTCAAAATCATTCTTTTTTCAATGTTAGCAAACAATAATCTAAATAAATTTATTATAAAATAGAAAAAAGCACTCAACACATCATAGATGCATGAAAAAGGTACTAGAAACCTTAAAAAATTCACAAAATTTTTTATCAACCATTCTCTATACTCTCTCACTCCAACATTTAAATAAAATTTTGTCATTTTTTTCTGTTTCCTATTTTGCCTATATTACTCGCACGCACAACGAACCAACCAACTACCCACTCAAATATCCAGTGACATTGATGACATCAACACTGACACATTTCACTTGGACATCTGGGACCACGATGATGAAAGTTGTGTACTCGATGCTGTATCACGTTTGAATGAGGTACGCGGTGTACGCGGTTTGGGAAGATTTTTTAAACAGGTCTGCCAATCGGCACGACAAGGTTCACAAGATGATTTTTTGGGTTGCGTTAATATACCAATTGCCGATATACCCAGCACTGGTATGGAGGGGTGGTTTAAATTGGAAGCACGTAGTCAACGTAGTACGGTACAGGGTCGCATTCGTTTGAAATTGTGGTTGTCGACGAGAGAAGGTCAGGTGGGAGATGGATCCTCAGCATCGGATATTGACAATAGTTTGGAAGTGAGAAATATAGAACAGTTGCAAATGGTTTTCATGAAACATGAGTTGGCCACGCAAGAGCCAACGTGGGCATGGAATGGTGAATTGCCGGGACCAGCATTGACGGTGTTGCATCAGATGGCAGTGCAGGCGGATTTGGGAGAGTTGCATTGTGCGGTGGCAAGGTGAGTGATTAATTATATTCAGAGCGAAGGTACCTATAATTATAGATTTAGGACTAGACTATAGACTAGAATAGACTAGACTATAGACTAGACTATAGACTAGACTATAGACTAGACTATAGACTAGACTATAGACTAGACTATAGACTAGATATAGACTAGACTATAGACTAGACTATAGACTAGACTATGACTAGACTATAGACTAGACTATAGACTAGACTATAGACTAGACTATAGACTAGACTATAGACTAGACTATAGACTAGACTATAGACTAGACTATAGACTAGACTATAGACTAGACTATAGACTAGACTATAGACTAGACTATAGACTAGACTATAGACTAGACTATAGACTAGACTATAGACTAGACTATAGACTAGACTATAGACTAGACTATAGACTAGACTATAGACTAGACTATAGACTAGACTATAGACTAGACTATAGACTAGACTATAGACTAGACTATAGATAGACTATAGACTAGACTATAGATAGACTATAGACTAGACTATAGACTAGACTATAGACTAGACTATAGACTAGACTATAGACTAGACTATAGACTAGACTATAGACTAGACTATAGACTAGACTATAGACTAGACTATAGACTAGACTATAGACTAGACTATAGACTAGACTATACGACTATAGACTACTATAGACTAGACTATAGACTAGACTAATAGACTAGACTATAGACTAGACTATAGACTAGACTATAGACTAGACTATAGACTAGACTATAGACTAGACTATAGACTAGACTATAGACTAGACTATAGACTAGACTATAGACTAGACTATAGACTAGACTATAGACTAGACTATAGACTAGACTATAGACTAGACTATAGACTAGACTATAGACTAGACTATAGACTAGACTATAGACTAGACTATAGACTAGACTATAGACTAGACTATAGACTAGACTATAGACTAGACTATGCTAGACTATAGACTAGACTATACTAGACTATAGACTAGACTATAGACTAGACTATAGACTAGATATAGACTAGACTATAGACTAGACTATAGACTAGACTATAGACTAGACTATAGACTAGACTATAGACTAGACTATAGACTAGACTATAGACTAGACTATAGACTAGACTATAGACTAGACTATAGACTAGACTATAGACTAGACTATAGACTAGACTATAGACTAGACTATAGACTAGACTATAGACTAGACTATAGACTAGACTATAGACTAGACTATAGACTAGACTATAGACTAGACTATAGACTAGACTATAGACTAGACTATAGACTAGACTATAGACTAGACTATAGACTAGACTATAGACTAGACCATAGACTAGACTGTAGACAAGACTATAGACTGAGACAAGACTATAGACTAGACTATAGACTAGGTTATAGACTAGACTAGAGATTAGACTATAGACTAGATTATAGAGTAGAATAGACTATACTATTGACTAGACAACAGACTAGAATGAAGAACCTTAGACCAGTTATTAAAAAACCCTTATATAATAAAAAATAAAACTTTTTATTCCAGATTCGTTGCCGCCGCCAAACTGAATCGCACCACACCACTAGATCCCAAATTCATGCATCGTCTACTTACCGACGTCGAAAAACAATGGAATGCCTCTAGTCAAGAGCACTTAACACGTGAACTCGAACAATGGTTGGCTGAAGCCATGAACGGTTTTGTTGAACGTTCTCTGCATCAAATACGACGACATCGTGACATTTTTCCAGCTCTTAATCCGCCATCACTCATACGTCTGGAGTTTCTCTTACGTTGTTTGGGTCTGTTGGGTTCAATGCGTGCATTTCGTGTGGTCTGTCCCTTTAATAAGGGAGTGCGCGGTGAGGTGGTGAATGCCTTACGTAAAGGTTCAGTGACATGGGGACAGAATATTTTGAAAGAAGCACAAAATCTACCAAATCCCTTGGCTCATTTTGTGACAACATTAACGGCTGATATACAAATTGGACAATCTTACTATCATTCGTTGTTTGACAAGTGAGTAAAGCCAAGAGAAAATAGAAATAGAATTTTATAATTTAACATCTCATTTAAGGGAAGAACATGTCTGTTTAGGAAAAAAAAAATTATAAAAAACGACATTAAATATTTGAAATGTTGTGTGTTTGGCACGTGCGCCACATAAAGTATGTTGGCGAAACAAAATTTAAGAATAAGTGGAAACACATGAATATGTTTAAATTTAGTTTAGTCTTTGTGAGTTTGTGTTTTATAAGTATTTTTTCAATGGTCAATAAAATTTATGAAGTGTTTCCTTGAGAGAGAAACTAAATAAATAAAAGCAAACGTTTAGTTAGCCGGGATTCTAGAAACAACACTTGTTTTGTCATTGTTAATCATCAATGATTAATACAGTTATTAGCTTTTAAATTTGATAAACATTTTATGCAGCCATAAACTTGTAACAAATTATTTGAGACGTTGGCCTAATGGAGGCACAACATTTAGTTAGTTAGTTGTAGTTAGTTAGTTAGTTAGTTAGTTAGTTAGTTAGTTAGTTTCGTTCGTTCGTTGTTAGTTAGTTCGTTAGTTCGTTAGTTTCGTTAGTTAGTTCGTTCGTTGTTCGTTATTTCGTTCGTTGTTAGTTCGTTCGTTCGTTCGTTCTTCGTTCGTTTGTTCGTTCGTTCGTTCGTTCTTTTCGTTCGTTCGTTCGTTCGTTCGTTCGTTCGTTCGTTCGTTCGTTCGTTCGTTTCGTTCGTTCGTTCGTTCGTTCGTTCGTTTTCGTTCGTTCGTTCGTTCGTTCGTTCGTTCGTTCTTCGTTCGTTCGTTCGTTCGTTTCTTTTCGTTCGTTCGTTTCGTTCGTTCGTTGTTCGTTCGTTCGTTCGTTCGTTCGTTCGTTCGTTCGTTCGTTCGTTTCGTTCGTTCGTTCTTCGTTCGTTTCGTTCGTTCGTTCGTTCGTTCGTTCGTTCGTTAGTTCGTTCGTTCGTTCGTTCGTTCGTTCGTTCGTCGTTCGTTCGTTCGTTCGTTCGTTCGTTCGTTCGTTCGTTCGTTCGTTCGTTCGTTTCTTCGTTCGTTCGTTCGTTCGTTTCGTTCGTTCGTTTTCGTTCGTTCGTTCGTTCGTTCGTTCGTTCGTTCGTTCGTTCGTTCGTTTCGTTCGTTCGTTCGTTCGTTTCGTTCGTTCGTTAGTTCGTTCGTTCGTTCGTTCGTTCGTTCGTTTCGTTCGTTCGTTCGTTCGTTCGTTCGTTCGTTCGTTCGTTCGTTCGTTCGTTTTTCGTTCGGTTCGTTCGTTCGTTCGTTTGTTTCGTTCGTTCGTTCGTTCGTTTCGTTCGTTCGTTCGTTCGTTCGTTCGTTCGTTCGTTCGTTCGTTCGTTCTTCGTTTCGTTGTTCGTTCGTTCGTTCGTTCGTTCGTTCGTTCGTTCGTTCGTTCGTTCGTTCGTTCGTTCGTTCGTTTTCGTTCGTTCGTTCGTTTCGTTCGTTCGTTCGTTCGTTCTTCGTTCGTTAGTTCGTTTTCGTTCGTTCGTTCGTTTCGTTTTCGTTCGTTCGTTCGTTCGTTCGTTCGTTCGTTCGTTCGTTCGTTCGTTCGTTCGTTCGTTCGTTCGTTCGTTCGTTCGTTCGTTCGTTCGTTCGTTCGTTCGTTTTCGTTCGTTCGTTCGTTCGTTCGTTCGTTCGTTTTCGTTCGTTCGTTCGTTCGTTTCGTTCGTTCGTTCGTTCGTTCGTTCGTTCGTTCGTTCGTTCGTTCGTTCGTTCGTTTCGTTCGTTCGTTCGTTCGTTCGTTTCGTTTCGTTCGTTCGTTCGTTCGTTCGTTCGTTCGTTTCGTTCGTTCGTTCGTTCGTTCGTTCGTTCGTTCGTTCGTTCGTTCGTTCGTTCGTTTCGTTCGTTTCGTTCGTTCGTTCGTTCGTTCGTTTTTCGTTCGTTCGTTCGTTCGTTTTCGTTCGTTCGTTCGTTCGTTCGTTCGTTCGTTCGTTCGTTCGTTCGTTCGTTCGTTCGTTCGTTCGTTCGTTCGTTCGTTCGTTCGTTTGTTCGTTCGTTCGTTCGTTCGTTCTTTCGTTCGTTCGTTCGTTCTTCGTTTCTCGTTCGTTCGTTCGTTCGTTCGTTCGTTCGTTCGTTCGTTCGTTCGTTCGTTCGTTCGTTCGTTCGTTCGTTCGTTCGTTTTTTTTCGTTCGTTCGTTCGTTCGTTCGTTCGTTCGTTTCGTTCGTTCGTTCGTTCGTTCGTTCGTTCGTTCGTTTCGTTCGTTCGTTCGTTTCGTTCGTTTCGTTCGTTCGTTTTGTTCGTTCGTTCGTTCGTTCGTTCTTCGTTCGTTCGTTCGTTTCGTTCGTTCTTTCGTTCGTTCGTTCGTTCGTTTCGTTCTTCGTTCGTTTCGTTCGTTCGTTCGTTCGTTCGTTGTTCGTTCGTTTCGTTCGTTCGTTCGTTCGTCGTTCGTTCGTTCGTTCGTTCGTTCGTTCGTTCGTTCTTCGTTCTTCGTTCGTTCGTTCGTTCGTTCGTTCGTTCGTCGTTCGTTCTTTCGTTCGTTTCGTTCGTTCGTTTCTTCCTCTCCTTCTCTTTTTCCCTTTCTTCGCCTCTCCCCCCTCCCCCCCTCCGGCCCCCCCCCCCTTTTTCCCTCCCTTGTTCTTTTTCTTCCTCCCTTTTCCCTCTTCCCTCCTCCGAAAAACCACATTTTTCTTTCGTCTTAGAAAGTAGGAGAGAAGGGAATAAACATGATGCGGTCGGGCATAGAAGGAAAAAAACAACAATTAATTTAAAGCTTAAAATTGCTGTCTCTGTTCATGTCATTCGGTTTTTTTTTTTTGCTCCACTCTGTTGTCCTTCTCTCCAGGCCTTGTACGAGTTTTGTGGTTAAGTTTTGAAAAGTAACTATGTATGTAGTTTCTTTCTTCAGTTCCCTTTAACATTTCTGCATACGTTCGTAAAGGTTTAAGGGTGTGTACATACACATATGCATTAGTTCAAGAGTGTTCCCTAAATAACTACTAACGGTTTGTAACAATATTGTCTATGAAGAAAACTGTTGTGTACTGATTTGTCTCCTGCCTACAGATTATATCAACTATAGTCTATCGAAACAGTATCTCGTATATCGGAGAAACCATAGACTTTCAAGTATAATCCATAAAATATGGAAATATTATGTTCTGTCTAAAATCGGAACACTTTCGGAAAATAGACAGTGTTCCAATTAGACCTAGACCAAATAGCTATAAATACAAAATAGTATCTTTAATTATACTACTCATAGGATTTGTGTTGAATACAGAGACATCTCATCTAAAACTCTATACATGGTACATTTGTGACACATTTTTTTAGTGAAAAAATACATTCTATTTTCATGTTCTAATTACCACAATATACAAAAAAAAAACTTAAAATTAAATGCATATATTTAGCAAAACAAACTATAAAATAGAATAGAAAATTGAAATTCTTTAACCACAAACTAAGGAGTGTAGCAAACCAACTGAATAACTAAACATTTAACTTAAATGCAAATTTATAAACTATATACATATTGTAAATAGAAAATATAAAAAATGCTAAACTTTTAAATATTTTAAAAACTAAGCACAGGAAGTGTTACTCAATAAACATTATTGAATTCTATTAAAATTAGATTTTACTAAAAATATGATTAAATTTCAAAAGTTATTAAATTTTAACCTTGAACGTATTTCTTTATCATAGAATTTTCATTATAATTATGAGCTGCTTATGGCATCATCACCATCATCATGTTTATTTTTCTCAGGATAATGAATCCTTGTTAACTAAACTTATTTCTTACCAAAATATTAATAAACTTTCCCCTGTGTGTGTCCGTCCCTCCGTTTGTCGGTCGTTTGCTCTATTTATCTTTATTGAGCTGCTTGTGTAAAATGTTCTTATTATTGACAATAACTATCAATTTCAATATTGATTTTTTCTTGGTAACTGTTAAAGTTTATGTATGTCTGTCTACTGGTCGTAATTTTCTTTCAAATAATAAATCCTTGAAATTTTCGTCTGCCAACATTAAAAGATACAAAAATTTCAATACATTTTTTTTTCGAACAATATTATGCAAAAAAAAAATAATAATAACATAAATTATTGAACTTAAATATTTGTTGCCAAACATAATTCTACAAATGTTGACCATATTTATTTGGCCTTTAGCTCTTAAGGTTTAGAAAGAAATTGTTATTAAAATAATCATAACAACAAGAAAATAATCAACAAATTCAAATTTTATTTATAAACTTTAGTTAATAGATTTAGTATTTATCAAATACATAAAATCTCTAAATACAATAATTTCGTTTTGGGGAAGTTTATTGAAAAAGGAATTGTGGTTTATTTCTATTCAAATTAAAGAGATCGTCTGAGTTGGTTTTAGAGGGTGATATAAATACTTGTAACAGATTACAAATAAATAGAGATAAAAGTATGTACTTAAATTAATCTAGAAAAACGAATAAATTTTATTATAAGTATGATTTGAATTTGGTTATATAATCGTCTAGTAGTAGAAAAATTAATATATTTTTGAAGTATGCCTCACCGAATGCAGTTTTGCACGTAAGAACTAACTAAATAACTAACTAACTAACTAACTAACTAACTAACTAACTAACTAACTAACTAACTAACTAACTAACTAACTAACTAACTAACTAACTAACTAACTAACTAACTAACTAACTAACTAACTAACTAACTAACTAACTAACTAACTAACTAACTAACTAACTAACTAACTAACTAACTAACTAACTAACTAACTAACTAACTAACTAACTAACTAACTAACTAACTAACTAACTTGCAATCGGCCCACAACAGATCGAAGCTCCCTTAGTCTTCCTTTCTAAAGTTGTGGTTTAAAGATAAAATCTTACTGATATATTCTTCTAAGTTACTACACTTCGAATGTAAGAATTTTACATATAGATCTCTTATTAGATCTTCTTTAGAAAATAAATATTTTGATATGTAAATGACAATTTGCAGTTTTCTTCTCTATTACCGACCGAAATTCTATATTTAACATAAATTCAGTCTAAAATGATGTATTCGCATTTCCTAATATTATTTTTCGCTATTTCTCTCTCCTTCTTCTCTTTCTAGCACCAATGGTATACAATACTTTAGTATAGTCTATAAAAAATTCGATGCTATGATAGGAGATGAAGTTTATCATCGCATGGAATCGGGACAAGTGCCCGGAGTACGTCTCAATCTCTCACATTATACAGTTCTCGAAGGGGATACCGATTCACTGGATATTAAACCGTTTGAATTATTTTTGGCACTACAAGAATTCTGTCAATTGAAACGATTCCTATCGGCACAACCACAACCACCCGAAAAACCCTTAGCTTTGGGACGTTGTCACGAATGGTTTATACCGGTTTTCGAAAGATGGATGATGATTAGTAAAGCCAAAGCGCTGCAACGCATCAGAGCAGCCATACGCTTGGATGCAATTTGTGAGGGTGAACGTGTAGTGCGTTATAGTTCTTCATCGGTGGATACAGCCTCGACATTAGTTAATATTAAGGAATTTTGGAAGATAATTAACTGGCCGGATGAGGAGACGGGCGTTATATTGGAATCACAATTAATTGATGTTGTTTGTGCTACCGCCATGCATTATTGTGATTTGATACATACCGCTTTAGCGGACAGTGGCTATTATGAAATACAAGGTCCATTCCGTTGTTCCGACGACATGTGTGTTACGGTCAATAATTTAGAGTATGTTAGATTCACCTTGGCGGACTTTCGTTCCGATGACAATCTTTTGGAGGAGACAGCCGACAATTTATTGGAATCAAGTTTGGCTCATATAGAAAATCGTTGTGAACGTATACTTTCCAAATTGGCGCCACTTATGCAAACATCCCTGCAAAAGTCGGTATTTCATTTAGCCTGGTCACCGGACTCCCTACCAGCCAATCAAGCCACAGTACCTTTATTGGAATATCTCAATTCACATTTGGGCGCCTTAAATAGTGCTCTATTGCCGAAAAACTTTAATCGAGCCTTGCGTTTTGTTTGGAAGACGGTTTTGGGAGAAATGACCAGTCAAATGGAAACCGGAGATGATGCTGAAAAACCTTCTAACTTTCACAAACGTCTGTATGAAGCTTTGCAGTTATTGGTGGATTTCTTTCATGCCGAGGGTCAGGGTTTATCTTTAGAATGTTTACATTCAGATGATTTTTGGATGGTGGAACAACGTTTACAATTTCATAAAACCGAAACCACACGTCTAATAGACATGTTCTATATGAATCGCTTAAGGGAACAATTAATGGCCACTACTCCGGGTCCTTATGGCTCGTTGACCGTGAGGGCATATTTCAATCATGACTCTTTATGTGTAGAAGTATTGCATGGTCGTGATATTGTGCCCTTGGATCCTAATGGTTTCAGTGATCCCTTTGTTATAGTCGAATTGCTGCCGCGTCGGGTTTTCAGTCATTGTATGGAGCAACAAACTAATGTGCATAAGGTGAGTTGTCGAATTTAGAATAGTATTCAAAATTCTATGGAGATACTTTGTTTTAGTTATAGTAAAAAATTATTTTTATTAATGTTTTTTAACTGTTTTTTATCTTTCTTCTTTTCATTTTAATAGAAAACTTTAAATCCCATTTTCGATGAATGTTTTGAGTTCTCTGTTACCTTGGAACAGTGTCTTTGTGAAGGTGCTATGGTCTGTTTTACCGTTATGGATCATGATGTTATAACAGCCAATGATTTTGGTGGCGAAGCCTTTTTGGCTTTGGGCAGTATTCCCGGTGTGGCCGATTACAATTCCAGTGTTGAAAATTTCCATGGTCTGAAACAAATTGAATTACCATTGATGCAACAACTGGAGAAATGTAAGTAGAATGTGAAATATTTAGATTTGTATTAGAAGAAGAACCAAATGGAGTCGAAAATAAATGAACTGAGTAGATGTCTGTTCAGTGAGTCATTGAACCATGATACTCGACTTTGTAGATACCGTCAAGTGTATGTGATAAATTTTTCAGGAAAGTTGAAAAGGTGCATGCAGTTTAAATAAAGTTATGAAATTGGGGTGTCTCCGAATAGGGTCAAGTAAAGTCTACAATCAACTCAGCATATAGAGTCGAGTAGAGTTCTATTAAAATCGTCACATCCACAGTAGTGTCAAGAAAATTTTATTAGAGTGTATCAGACGAGGGTAGGGTAGAATAGTGTTGTGTTGCAGAGTGAAAATGTCTTTTCCATTTACAGGGTGAGATTTTTTGACGACTAATCATCGCCCACTTGTGTATCTTCTACGTCGGTGGCTACTTTTTTACATAGTTATGCCGGTCCATGTACACTTTCCTCAAGTAATCGAGCTATCTAATCTTTGACCATTTCCGCAAAACATCACATCCGTTTATAACCGCGCAGATGGGAAGAAAATTCAATGGTAGCACTTGTATAACATACCTTACATCCATCACCACTCGACTAAGCACACATCTCACTCATCCGACGCACTTATTGCGAAAAACATCCGACACACTCATTCTAGGTATACGGGTGGGTAAGGTCCGCATACCCCTACATCCATCGCGTTTCATATACACTTTACACCAACTCATTTACAACGAATAGTTGTCTCGGTAACAGCACCGAACTTATCCAGATTTATAGACTTTAACGTGCATCAGTCTTTTAACCAACATTCTCTTCCCGTGAATATGGGTTTAAACCACAGTCACCACGTGCACACCGAAGGAACCTCTTCATTAACCGGTACAAAACAAAGTCCGAAATCTTGTCCAGTGGGCAACCGGTTCCCGTGATACGCGTTTATGAGGCTCTCCGTTTCGACCTCATGCCAAATCATTCCAAGGAACAACCGAGGATAAATTTGAACATCACCAGTTTATAAGCCCGATAGACTAGAGGTATTGGTATCACCTCTTTTCCCCCGGATTGCAATAACACGAATATGCGGGAAGATTATCAAGGTAACATTCCTCAGGGGGATGTTGCAAAGTGAAGTAGAAACTTTCAAAGACAGATTAGGATTAAGTCAACTTGAAAAGAATTGAGTAGAGGAATGTAATACCTAGAAATGTTGAACTGTCAAGAAAGGTTTTCTCAACTAGAGAAGATTTATTTTGAAATTTGAAATTCCTATGTTGCAGAATTAAATAGAGTTATCAATTTATTAATTACATAATGCAATATTTAATAATAATAACCAGTTCTTCTTAAACATTTAATCTCATTCTCTCACTTCGATGCCCCGACATAACTCATCGAATATCAATCTCTTCCATTCTTCGATCGTATGATCCTCCTCGTCCAAAGTCTGATCATATGCATTCGGTGCTGAAGCATAAACTTCCTCCTCATCATACCAAACGTTAATATAATTGTGCCTTAAAGCTTCAGCCACCGATATACGTTCGTCTGGATCGATTTTTAACATTCTACTCAATAAATCTCTGGCTTGTTTAGTTTTAAGTTTATTCTCTTCATTTGCCTCATTAAACCTTTCGAACAGATCATCGGGAAAGAGACTTTCAAATGTATAACCCTGATAAGTAGGTAAAGTTGTTAAATAATTACGAACATTTGGTGATAATTTAGCAAGAAAAGTTTCCGATGGTGTACCCAATAGTTCAATTATTTTATTCCATTGATCCATATGATCAGTACCACGAAATAATATACCGCCACGTAAGATTTCACCAAATATACAGCCTATAGACCAAATGTCTACATTTTCCTTATAACACATACTCAAGACAACTTCGGGTGCACGGTAATAACGACTAATCACATAGGCAGTCAACATCTGTGAGTTAGCATTATTGACACGGGCCAAACCGAAATCTAATATTTTTAAGGTACAATCTGATTTAACCACAATATTAGAGGGCTTCAAATCCCTATGTATTATGCCGGCGGTATGCAAATATTTGATGCCACACAATATCTGATAGATTAGAAAAGACAATCTATCATGATCCAAGCCCATCTGAATAACACTGCTAAAATTCATATCCATTAGTTCGGTCACTAGATAAATATCCTGAAACTTTTCCAGTTTATTATCGGTAGTGAAAGCATCCAGCAAACGTATGATATTTCTATGATTCACTATCTTTAGCAGTTTCAATTCACGATAGGCTCTCTTCGCTTGCATGACATTTTGAAATGGTTTCGATAGTTTTTTAATGGCCACATTTTGTTTGTTTAAAGTATTATGGGCTGAGCAAACTATACCTTGTACCCCTGCACCAATGGGCTTTAAATTCTGATAATGTTCAGGCACTGTAAAATTGACATCACCAAATTGAACTGTATAGAATTTATAGTTCGTTAACATTCCGTTAATTGAAATTGCTGATATGTACTACAACTTTACTTAGTTCTTTATACTGCAACACTAAGACTTTCAGTGCTTTTAATAAATACAATTAAATAATTGAGGCGAGATCAGTAATAAGTGAAACCACAATATGATTAAGAGATTATAAATATTTTATATTAGCTTTTGTGTAGTAATTATAAAAAAGAAACGTGTGTCTAGCTATTTCGAGTACACAGGAAGAAAAATGGAAAATTATCATTTTATTTTTCTCTATTGTAGTCTATAAGGTATTTCAAAATTTCTGAAAGATTTTGTTAATGAAAACAATTACTCTTTCTGTAAGAGGTTACACATTGGGATTGATTAAACAATTCGATAGTAAAAATTCTTTCAATGTATATAAAAATCTATTATAAAGCGAGTTATACTTGTTTATATTTTAATCCCATTACATTCTTAAGTCAATTCTTTTCTTACTTAATTTAATCTCCTTTCATACTTAATTTAAAAAACAGGTTTTTTGAAATCTACTGGGTTATGAAATCAAGTACGAATCGTGCTCAAACCAAGCCCATTTGCTGATTATTTCATTCTTCTTCATTCCTTTATAAATCGTACATTTATTTCAGATCAAAAAATATTAAAATGAGTATATTTTTAAGTAAAACCTTTAGGTAAGAGTGCCTCCGATAGGTTAATAAGTAGTGTATTTCTGTGGGTTTGATGTATATGCAAACTAACTAACTAACTAACTACTAACTAACTAACTAACTAACTAACTAACTAACTAACTAACTAACTAACTAACTAACTAACTAACTAACTAACTAACTAACTAACTAACTAACTAACTAACTAACTAACTAACTAACTAACTAACTAACTAACTAACTAACTAACTAACTAACTAACTAACTAACTAACTAACTAACTAACTACTAACTAACTAACTAACTAACTAACTAACTAACTAACTAACTAACTAACTAACTAACTAACTAACTAACTAACTAACTAACTAACTAACTAACTACTAACTAACTAACTAACTAACTAACTAACTAACTAACTAACTAACTAACTAACTAACTAACTAACTAACTAACTAACTAACTAACTAACTAACTAACTAACTAACTAACTAACTACTAACTAACTAACTAACTAACTAACTAACTAACTAACTAACTAACTAACTAACTAACTAACTAACTAACTAACTACTAACTAACTAACTAACTAACTAACTAACTAACTAACTAACTAACTAACTAACTAACTAACTACTAACTACTAACTAACTAACTAACTAACTAACTACTAACTAACTAACTAACTAACTAACTAACTAACTAACTACTAACTAACTAACTAACTAACTAACTAACTAACTACTAACTAACTAACTAACTAACTAACTAACTACTAACTAACTAACTAACTAACTAACTACTAACTAACTAACTACTAACTAACTAACTAACTAACTAACTAACTAACTAACTAACTAACTAACTAACTACTAACTAACTACTAACTAACTAACTAACTAACTAACTAACTAACTAACTAACTAACTAACTAACTAACTAACTAACTAACTAACTAACTAACTAACTAACTAACTAACTAACTAACTAACTAACTAACTAACTAACTAACTAACTAACTAACTACTAACTAACTAACTAACTAACTACTAACTACTACTATAACTAACTAACTAACTAACTAACGAACTAACTAACTAACTAACTAACTAAACTAACTAACTAACTAACTAACTAACTAACTAACTAACTAACTAACTAACTAACTAACTAACTAACTAACTAACTACCTAACTAACTACTAACTAACTAACTAAGGTAACTTTAACCCCAAAAAACATTAATTTGGTCTTTCGGATCCCTTATTGAATAAATTGTTTGATTTAAGGAAATCCGTACTTACTATACATTTGAAACCGTTCCGGATTGATTTCAGTATTACTCAATTCTTTTTTTCACGTGCAGGACACCGTTAACAGTCTAGTTAAGCCCCAAAAGCAGAGTGGACTATAATTGAATAGTGTCAAGAAGACGTATAGATTTCAGTACTATTACAAAAAGTCTAATATATCTTTATTAGTTCTTTATTTTCAACTAAAAATAACATGATATATAACACCCTCAACTACAGTCTTCAATCACCCGATTTTTCACTACCCTGCATTATCTCTTCAAAGACCATTTTTTTCCATTCATCTATTGTATGTTCCTCATCGTCTAGACTCTGATCATATTCCTTTGGAGCTGGAGCATTAGCTTCCTGTTCATCATACCAAGGGCTAATGTAACTATGCCTTAAAGCTTCGTCCACCGATATACGTTCATCCGGATCAATTTTTAACATTCTACTCAATAAATCTCTGGCATCTTCAGTTCTACAATTAGTGTCATCACTCGGCCCATTAAACCTTTCGAACAAGGCATCGGGAAAAAGACGTTCAAACGTATATCCCCGACAATTAGGTAAAGTCCTTAAATAATTACGAACTGTGACCGATAATTTAGCAAGAAAAGTTTCTGGTGGTGTACCCAGCTGTTCAATTATTTTATTCCATTGATCCATATGATCCGAACCACGAAATAATATACTACCACGTACAATTTCACCAATTATACAGCCTATAGACCAGATGTCTACATTTTCCTTATAACGCATACCTAATATTACCTCAGGAGCACGATAATAGCGCGTTACTACATAGGCTGTCATCATATGTGAAGAAGAAGAACTTTTGCGCGCCAAACCGAAATCTAATATTTTTAAACTACAATCCGATTTCACCACAATATTAGAGGGTTTCAAATCCCTGTGTATTATGCCGGCTGTGTGTAAATGCTTAATACCACACAATATTTGATAGATCAAATATGACAATCTATCATGATCCAAACCTATGTGAATAACACTATTTAAATTCGCCTCCATTAGCTCCATTACCATGTAAACATCTTGAAACTCTTCCAATGTCTTGTCCGTGGTGAAAACATCCAGCAAACATATGATATTTCTATGATTCACTATTTTCAATAGTTTCAATTCACGATAGGCTCTCTTCGCTTGTATGACATTTTGAAAGGGTTTCGATAATTTTTTAATAGCCACACTTTGTTTCTTTAGAGTATCTACGGCTGAACAAACTATACCTTGCGCCCCCGTGCCAATGGCTTGTAAATCTTGATAACGCACAGGCACTGTAAAATTGGCATCGCCTACTTGTACCGTATGAAATTCATATATCGTTGCCATTCTGAGAATTTATTTAAATTTTTGTTGTTCGATTCTTTTTTTCTTAGTTCTTTACACTGCAACTCTAAGACAGTGAGTGATTGTAAGATTTAAAATTAAATAATGGAGGTGGAATCGATAAGAAGTTAACCACAATATGATTAAGACATTATTTATATTTATACCCTACACCACTTTAGTGGGGAGGGTATATTGGATTTGTGCTGATGTTTGTAACATACAAAAATATTCGTCCTAGACCCACCTTAAAGTATACCAATCGGCATAGAATCGTCCATGTAAACCTTGTGCGCAAGGTACAGGTCGCAATTTTCAAGATAATTGGATGAAATTTGGCACGCAAGTTTTATTTGACCCAAGGACGAAGCCTATTGAAAATGGTTAAAATCGGTCCATTATTTCACCTAGCCCCCATAGAACAGAACCCCCCGAAAAGGGCTTCTGAGTTCATAATTATGTTAAATATACAGATATATCGATAAAATACGGCACAACTAAATTTTATAGAAGTCTTGATGACCCTGCCAAATTTCATAAAGATCGGGCCCCATTTGACCCTAGCTCTCATACCAAGTCCCCTTCAAAATTACTTGAATGTCCCAAATTATTTGACCCTAGCTCCCATACAAAGTCCCCTTCAAAATTACTTGAATGTCCCAAATTAACTTATAAACACAAATATCGCGATGAAATTCAGCACAATAAAATATTATGTAAATATAAATATATTCACAAAATTTTATCGGGCTTGGTCCATATTTGCCCCTAGCCCCCATATAAAGCCTCTTTCAGAAAATTAGTTTTTCATCCATAAATTGCTTAAATGTATGGGAACAAGGGAATATTGAAGATAAATGCTTTATTATGAAAAATAAATCACATTTAATATTCATAACTGGTGTAGGGTATCATATGGTCGGCCGCGCCCGACTATACTTTCTTACTTGTTTACATTAGATTTTGTGTAATTTTAAAAATTTTCTATAAAATTACTTTGGTTAATTAGTACGCGGGTTAAGGGGAAATTTGATGAAAATATGTGTTTTCAGTTCATATTAGAACAGAGTATAAAAATAATATCAAAGTTGAAAAAAGTATAGCAGAGTCGAGGAGGAATCGAGTTACCGAATACTTGATAGAATGCCCTTTCCTAACGTTTCAAATTTCAGCACAGAGCACAGTTGAGAGTAGTAGAATACAGTCTGAGTGTAAAGGAGTAGAGAAAAATATTTCTTTAAAGAAACTTGATTTTTTAACAAAAAACTAAACATACAAAATATAACAAAATTTTTTTTTTTTTAAATCTTTCTCCACAGGCAATCCCATTTTACAAATTCTGGAATTGCGCGTTAATGACAAACTAGCTCAAGATTTTGTACGTAAGCAAAAAGCACGAATAATCGAATAAAAAGCTTACAAAATATGCCCGAAATTTGAAAGTTTATGAAACGAAGCTACAATCAAATTGTATGTATGAAATTTTTAAAATTTTAACAACAATTAAAACAAAACAAATTTATTAAAAAAAACTATTGACAATTGTATAAAATTAATAAAAAAAAAAAACTTAAAAGTGAATTGAAAAAAATGGTGCATAAAGACTATAGAAGAAACACAAAACAAAAATATATAGAAAACTTTAGAAAAAACGGATCTTAGAGAAAGCGTATTAGAATTTGTAACATTTGGTAAAAACAAAACAATTACAAAGTTTCAAACAAAAATTATAAATAACTTAAATTTATAAAAAAACCATAATATTTAAAGCAGCCAAAAAAAAAGCAAAGAAATTTAATAACATATAATAAAAACTTATTTAAACAAAATCTTTGCTAAACCAACAACCAACAAAACAAACAAGATTTTCAAGAAAGAGTTAAAAAAACCTTAAAAATTATGAAAATGTATAATGAAAAACTGAAAATAACCAAAACAAATAAAAAAAGAAACTTAACCAATTAAAATGCAACTTTTAGGGAATCTTTTTTGGATAAACTTTTTTTCAAATGCTTCTTTTTTTAACAGAATAAGCCAAACCAACTACACTACATAACATAAATAAACCACCAGTTTTAATAAAATATAACAAAAAAAAAAAAAATACTATAAAAAACGGAAGAATTTAATACACAGAGAAGCAAATCAACTACAATTTACCAAAATGCTGAATTAATTTTTATTCTTAAAATCATTGCAAGATAAGAAATAAAATATAACAAAATAATTAAAAAAAAATATTATTACAAATAATGGATTATATATATTCATACTTATTTAAAAATTACTAAAGACTAACAGATACATAACGTCATTATTTACAGTGATGTAGAAAAGTAAAGAAAATTACACCTTTTTTTAACCACTAAACATTTAATTAATAATGCTAAGGAACCATATAAAGTGAAATTATAGTTCAGTTCTAGTTCAGTTCTAGTTCAGTTCTAGTTCAGTTCTAGTTCAGTTCTAGTTCAGTTCTAGTTCAGTTCTAGTTCAGTTCTAGTTCAGTTCTAGTTCAGTTCTAGTTCAGTTCTAGTTCAGTTCTAGTTCAGTTCTAGTTCAGTTCTAGTTCAGTTCTAGTTCAGTTCTAGTTCAGTTCTAGTTCAGTTCTAGTTCAGTTCTAGTTCAGTTCTAGTTCAGTTCTAGTTCAGTTCTAGTTCAGTTCTAGTTCAGTTCTAGTTCAGTTCTAGTTCAGTTCTAGTTCAGTTCTAGTTCAGTTCTAGTTCAGTTCTAGTTCAGTTCTAGTTCAGTTCTAGTTCAGTTCTAGTTCAGTTCTAGTTCAGTTCTAGTTCAGTTCTAGTTCAGTTCTTGTTCAGTTCTAGTTCAGTTCTAGTTCAGTTCTAGTTCAGTTCTAATCCACACTTCCTTCAGTTATGGTTCAGTTCTGGGTTTCTTTCCATTCTTGTTCATTTCTAATTCTGTTCCAATTTTAGTTCAGCATAGGTCAAACAGATTTCTTTATTTTTACTAGTGAATACATATTTCAGAAAATTAAATTAAAAAAAAAAATTTTATAATTTTCCTAATTAACAAATTGTATGATTTTATAACTCTTATGTCAATTACAAAAAAAAAAAAAAAAATGGTTTCATAAGACCAATTTAGTTAGACCAAGCGGAAAAAGCGTAACGTCAGTTCAATATTTTTGCTTCGGCTTAAGTCAAATTTTACATCACTGTAGGGCAAAAGAGCATTGAAATTTTTTGTTTTACCAAAAAACTAAATTTTTTTTACAAAACCCAAGAAATAATACAAAAAAATTTACTGGCCTTTACTTCAGACTTTATGAAATTGTAAACTACATTTTACTCAATGCCGTTTTGTTCTAATGACAAATACACATACATGTTTATGTAAAAATAATATATTAAAAAATAAAACTAATTAAATGTTCAGTGATTGTTGTCAATTCAAAAGAAGATTTAAATAAAAATAAATTAAAAATTATTATATAAATTATTATTAATATTTAAATATATACAAATATTTATAAAAAAAAAAAATTATTCTTCTATCCCGAGCTTATTGATTTCGAAATTTATTTACAAAATTTAAAGCAAAAACCAAAAAACAACTCTATTTATTTAAAATACCCGCACCAATTTATTGTATACAAACAAAATATTTAAAAAAAAATATGAAAATAAAATAGCACCTACTTACTACTTATACAATATAAAATATTATTTAAAAATATATATATATTTAAATTTATGTATAAAATAAAAAAAAAATAAATCCTACCCACCTTAAACTATAACTAAAAACCCACAAGATCGAGCAAAATTTGAAAAGAAATTTAAAATTTTGTTTGATAATGCGGTTTATATTTACCCTTAAAGACTTTACTTTTATTTCGTCAACCAAAATTCTATATTGTTTTCCTTTCTCTGTCTAAATCACTAATTTCAAATATTTTTCTAAACACTAAAAATCCCCGTCAAAGGTGTCACTATTTAAGTTATAAAACAGCTGTTTCTTAACTTAAACTGTGAATAACCTTGATATTGTAAATTTTGTACTATATACATAACAAAAAAAAAAAATACTTCTAAAGACTTAGCATATATTCTCTAACGACTTTATACTATAAACATAATTCTAGTCTATAAAACAAATACTATTAACAATTTTATTTTTAAGTCATTTAACTTTTTTATACCTACACTGTGACATAAAAATATTAGAACAAAAAATATACATATAAAATAATGCTCCTAAATTAAAAAATTAAATTGTATGTAAATTTAAAATATGTGTAATTGTAATAAAATAATAAAACAATTAACTAAATTAATTTATAAATGTATTCATAAATAAACCGTAGACAAATTCTCATTATTTGTAAACAAATTAACGATAAACAAGGAAATAAATAAATTGTCATAAAAAATTTTAAATTTTAATATGGAAAAATATATGATTCGACTATTGGTGCAAACAATGTATGAGCTTTATGCTAAATTTGGATTGAAATTTTTTTAAGTAAAGTTTTTCAAATTTGAGATTTTTAAAATTACTATATAAATATGTAACTATTATTTCCTACAACGATTACAAAGACTCTACAGATTCAAATGGCTTCTTTGACCCATACTGCAGAACTATAATGTGTCTGGGAACAAATTTTCTTATCGTTAGAATATATTGATTTATTAATGCCAGAGGAAATGATCTACAATCTTCCCTTAGATTCTTAGAATGAATCTACCTGCTTTTCAAAGGTGCTCCGTTATTACCGCTATCAACGTTCAAATCCGATTGGGCATTTATAGAAGGACCATCTAAGGCTCATAACTGGTATAGTTTTTGAAGGAGACAACCTCACTCGGGTTTTCTGAAATCCGCAAAGGATCGTTTATTGAACTACAGTTAGAAATATTACAAGTTCTTCTTTGGTAGTTCTAGTTCTGTTCTAGTTCTGATCTAGTTCTGTTCTAGTTCTGTTCTAGTTCTGTTCTAGTTCTGTTCTAGCTCTGTTCTAGCTCTGTTCTAGTTCAGTTCTAGTTTTGTTCTAGTTCTGTTCTAGTTCTGTTCTAGTTCTGTTCTAGTTCTGTTCTAGTTCTGTTCTAGTTCTGTTCTAGTTCTGTTCTAGTTCAGTTCTAGTTCTGTTCTAGTTCTGTTCTAGTTCTGTTCTGTTCTAGTTCTGTTCTAGTTCTGTTCTAGTTCAGTTCCAGTTCTGTTCTAGTTCTGTTCTAGTTCTGTTCTAGTTCTGTTCTAGTTCAGTTCCAGTTCTGTTCTAGTTCTGTTCTAGTTCTGTTCTAGTTCTGTTCTAGTTCTGTTCTAGTTCTGTTCTAGTTCTGTTCTAGTTCTGTTCTAATTCTGTTCTAGTTCTGTTCTAGTTCTGTTCTAGTTCTGTTCTAGTTCTGTTCTAGTTCTGTTCTAGTTCTGTTCTAGTTCTGTTCTAGTTCTGTTCTAGTTCTGTTCTAGTTCTGTTCTAGTTCTGTTCTAGTTCTGTTCTAGTTCTGTTCCAGTTCTGTTCTAGTTCTGTTCTAGTTCTGTTCTAGTTCTGTTCTAGTTCTTGTTCTAGTTCTGTTCTAGTTCTGTTCTAGTTCTGTTCTAGTTCTGTTCCAGTTCTGTTCCAGTTCTGTTCTAGTTCTGTTCTAGTTCTGTTCTAGTTCTATTCTAGTTCTGTTCCAGTTCTGTTCTAGTTCTGTTCTAGTTCTGTTCTAGTTCTGTTCTAGTTCTGTTCTAGTTCTGTTCTAGTTCTGTTCTAGTTCTGTTCTAGTTCTGTTCTAGTTCTGTTCTAGTTCTGTTCTAGTTCTGTTCTAGTTCTGTTCTAGTTCTGTTCTAGTTCTGTTCTGTACTAGTTCTGTTCTGTACTAGTTCTGTTCTAGTTCTGTTCTAGTTCTGTTCTGTAGTTCTGTTCTAGTTCTGTTCTAGTTCTGTTCTAGTTCTGTTCTAGTTCTGTTCTAGTTCTGTTCTAGTTCTGTTCTAGTTCTGTTCTAGTTCTGTTCTAGTTCTGTTCTAGTTCTGTTCTAGTTCTGTTCTAGTTCTGTTCTAGTTCTGTTCTAGTTCTGTTCTAGTTCTGTTCTAGGTCTGTTCTAGTTCTGTTCTAGTTCTGTTCTAGTTCTGTTCTAGTTCTGTTCTAGTTCTGTTCTAGTTCTGTTCTAGTTCTGTTCTAGTTCTGTTCTAGTTCTGTTCTAGTTCTGTTCTAGTTCTGTTCTAGTTCTGTTCTAGTTCTGTTCTAGTTCTGCTCTAGTTCTGTTCTAGTTCTGTTCTAGTTCTGTTCTAGTTCTGTTCTATTTCTGATCTAGTTCTGATCTAGTTCTGTTCTAGTTCTGTTCTAGTTCTGTTCTAGTTCTGTTCTAGTTCTTTGTTTCAGTTCTGTTCTTTTTACTAATAAAAGGACAACATAAAGTTAATTAAATTGTCCACAAAATTCTAAAATTATTCAATCCAAATAACGCAGTAAAACCTTAATAAAACCTTATGATTTTTTTCAAATTTTATTTGTTTTCATTTTATTTATTAATAAAATTTCAACCTAAAACTATCAAATAACCAATTACTCACTGAAGTAACAACAAATAAAACTATTTTAAAACACAACAACATAAATACAAATCAAGCAGACTAATAAAAATATATTTATCTATATTTTTTTAAAGAATTTTTCTAAAACTTTTATTTTGATACAAAACACTCTATACAATATAAATCAAAAGCTTAAAAGAAACAAATCAAAACAAAGCATTTGTGGGATTTAGTTATATAAACAATTTTGTAATTCATTTATTTCTAACAACAAAGTGCAACATAAAGCCCTCCTAATGAAACAAAACAGAAAAACTAAGTTATCAAAACTAAAGGAAATAAATACAAATTTACACGTAAAAGAAAATAAAACTCAAACTATTTTTGATTACACTTTCTATTTTATATAAATGTTAAATTGTATTTTATAATACATTTCCATATAAAAACAATCAAAACACGTGTCAGTTCTCAAACTATTGCCTTCCTACTTAAAAAATTTAGTTAAAGTTCACTTTTAATTCAGATTTAATTCTATTTTCTTGAATCTGAAAAAATTTAATATTCTATTTATGACTCTAAACTTTTTTAATGAAAGCTGACATTAGTATTATGTAAAGCATTTTTCC